AATGTGTGCCTGAACTTCTATTAATGTTGTATGTAGTTTTGATGCGGTTTATTCTTAATAACCTTTATAGAGTATTGGACCAGGAATGATTTGTTAGATGAGTTCAATCAGGTAGTTCACTATGTGTCTTACCACAAGTCATGAGTGTGCACTAGCTGTAGTTTTTTAATTAATAATTAATGATGCTCATACTATAGTGGAGGATGATATGAAAGAATTTAGACTGAAGCTTGCGGCGATCTTGCTATTGTCAAAGTTAAATAAATGAAAGGGGTCTCCACACCTTGATAGTGATGAAAATATTGGAAACCCAAACGAGTGTGCCATAATAGATAATGCAAAGATGGCTGAAGCATCCATGAAAAAGAGAACATTCTCAAGAGGTTGAATGCTTAGTGGTTCAAAAGGGCACACCTCAACACATACAAACTCAGAACAAATCCTCACAAGTCCATACCAAGAGCCTGATGAGTTTTAGGTATTTGAGGTCATGAAAGACATGCCAATGAACAAGGAAGAGATGACTCAGTTACTGGTTGATTATGTCATGGCAATTTAGGGTGCAACGATGTTGAAGTAAGCTACATACTTATTTTAATTACTTTACTAATAATAGTGTGCTCTCTTATAATTAGATAACCATCATATGTGTCTAATGCTTTGTAGGAGGCCTTAGGTTAAAGGTTTTCATCACTCCATAATTGCACTAAGTGTCAAGAACCTATAAAACTTGTTAATGGACGATCGCGGCATCTCTGAGAACTGTTTCAACTTAGGTGTCCGCTTTTAGGCAGCTCGAGAGTATGGAACACTAACACAATACAATAGTATTATGAAGCATCATATGGACTTAAGCTTCTGTGTAAGCACATTTTTATAATTATTATCGTGCTATATTATATTGTCTTATTTGTTGCTCTTCTAATTATTATAAAATAGGCCAAGTTATACTAATCCTGACTCTCGATATCCTTCTTTTTCAGAAAAATGTGTGCTTTAACACAAAGCCTAGAATAATGTAAAAGATACAGTGCAAAAGAAATGGCTGCTGCGATTGGTGTATGTGAGAATATGGAATACAACTTACCACAGTACAGATACGTAAGTCGTTTGCTCATGCTTTTATTACTTGTTTACTATATATTATTCTAATCGCTACCATGTTTGCAGTTTCTTTTGCCATGGCTACACATTTGAAAATATATGCTTTATGTTTTTCACCAGCAGAAGAAGACGCTTATCATGATTGATTCTAGACCTGTTGAAAAATGGTGTAAAGACACACCAGTGTTGATGTATGCTAGGTAAACTCTTGATTTAACTTGCAATACATGGCCGTAGTGAATGAACATATTTCTATATGGAACGATGATATTTTCTAATGGGAATTCATCCGTGAAAAAAATATTGTAGATGACATAGATGGGTAACTAACTCAGAGTCACCGTTGCTTGCAATAATAATACCCAAATGTAAATTCATCCGTGAAAAAAACATTGCAGATGACGTAGCTGGGTAACTAACTCAGAGTCACCGCCGCTTACAATAATAATAACTATGATTTAACTATTTCTATATGTTGCTGATGGTAAATCTTACCACAAACACTCAAGTGGATATCTTATTCTACAATATATATCTGCGTGGAATGGTCGTAAAGCCACATATATTTATATGGTGAGTATAACATACTTTGTTTTAAGGTTTTGTAAGAGATTTTATAAGACACATAGTATTTACCCATGTGTACAGGATGGTATGGAGATGCGGCGGAACTTATTCGTGGATTTATGTTCACACAAAAGAAAAGGATATTGGAGATTTCTTAGTGTCGATATAAAACATTATCTTGGCAGCATGACGGTGACGGAAATGTCTATACAGTAGAGTTTATGAGCCCCTGCGGCGCTGCCCTCTCCGTGACTATGTTAATTTTACGAACTTTGCTTTTTGGATTAAATATTATTTTAATGTCGGTATTTAATTTCACGGTATTGTTATCTAACCGTGTGGTCTGTCTGTTTTAGTACAAAAGTTTAGCTGTCCTATAGCAACGTAAGGGCACGCTACCTAGTAAAGATAAATAGTGAAGTTTACCTATGATTACACTAGTATAGTGTTCGTGTTAACACCACGACTTCATTTCAGGGATGTATATAAAAACACCCTCATGGTGATATTTTTTTCATAGTTTAAGTTTCACGAAGTTCTATATTACCACGTATATAATCTGGAAGACACTCGTGCATAACAAGACACAATAAGTCATGTCTCGTATACTACAAATAATTTATGAATTGCTTAAGTAGGTATTCGAGTTCTTCAGGGATAATGTCTTTATATTCATTTACATTGCTCTTCAAAATGTCCACCAAGAATTCTGTTCTTAGTGAATCTGGTAGCTGTGCATGGTAGATAATAAGTTAACTTACTAATTTGTTAGGTAGTCTATAAAATATACATAGAGAATATATATGCTCACAGGGTTGATCACTGGCCATCTTACGTCATCCCACGACCGCATGAAACTGTATACAAGGAAGCCTGCCAATTTACTAGAGAAGAGCATGTGTTTATTTGTTTATATAAATCAAATGCCTATTTGATAAGAAAGATGAAACATATTACAAGTTATTACCAGTTCAAAGTTTTTGGAACCCATGTTGAGAATTCACGATGTCAGTAATAAATATTGTCATTCCACACGCAGGATTGACCAATTTCATGTCGATATTGAAATTAGTGCAATATCATGTAATCTATTTATAAATGGCAAGCTTAGATCATTACCCGTGTACCCTGGATTTGGAGAAAGCAGATCCATAATGTACATGGTTCTGTTATCTAGTCTATTATATTATGAATAAAGTATAGAGCCTATGTATAGAGTCTATCTCGATAATATAGCAATAGAATCTGTAAACAAACACCTAGATTATAAGTGTATAATAAAATACAAGTTTTTAAAGAAGTTTACATATCTTATGGTACTGCAATCTTTAATATCTTAGTCAATGTTAGGCCAGCATTCAGCAATTTTGCCAGTTTTTGTCATCTACCTCATCACAGCACCGCAGATCCCGTCCAAACTGAGATATGGAAAATTGATTTTGTAAAATTTATAATTATTTGATTAATTATACAATTATATATAAATAAAGAATAATTATATCAACTTACATCGAACTGGAGGTCCATAAAATGGTATTTGTCTTATATAATCAACCAGGCTATGTTGCACGGAACTGTCCTAACAACCATGTTGAAGCAATCATGATCCATGGGTTTATTTGCATCTAAAATATCTCTAAGGGGCCGTTTGGATCTCTTTATATTAGAGGGATTGAAATATACTTAATAGATTATGCTATTTGACTTAGAATTTGACATTCCATAACTTTTCCAAACTCACAAATAAGCCTATATCAAATTTATAAAGTGGAAGATGGAAATGGATTCTATAGACACTATGCTATAATTCTACTGTCCGACTTATAGCATACTCTTCAACTCACTTCCCTATAATAGAAATACAACATATAAGTATGTACCTTTTATGGCTAATAATAAATATACAAATCTATTTCATATACAATTATATTAGCTTAATTAATCTATGTCTAAATTCTAATTATTAGAATGAATTTAATTCCAAGAATCTAAACGGGCCTTAGGGATTTTTAGATGTAAATAAATCCATGGTCGCGAAGCCTAATTGTTGGAGGAAGATAAATACCACTTCATGAACCTCTAGTTCTGTGTAAGTTGATATAATTGTTCTCTTGTTGTGTATATAATTATATAATTAATCAAATAATTATAAATTTTGCAAAGTCAACCGTCTATATCTCAGTTTGGACGAGATCCGCGGTGGTGACTACAAAGAACTGACAAAATTGTTTGAATGCTGGCCTCACACGGGGTACGGTATTAAAGATTGCAGCAATGTACAATATGTTCTGTAAACTCCTCCAAAACTTATATTTTATTTTGCACTTATAGTCTTGGTGTTTGTTTTTAGACTCTCTACTGTCATATTATCAAGGCTCTACACTTTATACATAATAGACAGGGGTAACAAAACCGTTGGATCTACTTGCTCCAAATCCAGGGTACAAGGGTAATGATCCAAGCATGCCATATCTACCATTACCCTTATTTATTTACCCTTATTTTCCAACACCATTTAGGCCCCCTTTGGATCTAACTTGAAAGCAGGATAGGAAAAAGGTAGGGATAGAAAAAGTGAAGGAATTTACATGCTTTCCCGTAGGATTTAACAGTTCAGGAAAATCAACAGAAACGCCTTTGGCAGACTCAGGTGAAACAAAGGAACTGCATGTGCGTGCCTGGATACTGTTTACCCGTGACAAGCAATCCTGGTGACAAGGACGACAAGCATGCATGGGTGCGACGACCTGGATAGCCACCAGCTCTTGCCATACAATCAAATATGGAAAGAAATGGCGTGAACAGACAAAGATGCCCCGGTCTTCGTGCAAAAAAGAAGAGGCCGAAGTGGATGGTAGAAATCCTCCGTTTTTCCTCCAGAGTGGCTGCCATAGGAATGTTCCCTCCATTTTTCATGTGATCCTTTCTTATCATCATCCAAAGGAGTGAACAGTAGCCGAATCCTTAGGATATAGAATCCTACATTTTCCCTCCATTTCGCCCTCAATCCAAAGGGGGCCTTACTGATTCCTCGCGAGGCGACGTCGCCCCTTGTTCCTGTCCCTTCGATTCATTATCGACGACCACCACAGCAGCTGCAGGAAAGCCCAGCCCCCACCCCCGACGCCTTATCCCTTCGGCGGCCGCTCCCGTCCTTCCTCTCCTCCCGACGTTTCTCCTCCCCCACCGGTTGCCGCACCTACCTCCACATCACTGCCCCTGCCCCTGCGCTGCTTCCGCAGCGGCCGCTCTCCTCCCTCTGACACGGCTCCTCGGCCTGCGCCGCCGGCCCACGATGGCGCGCGCCAACCCCATGGCACTGTGGCTTGATGCCTACGCACCTGCTTCGTAGCCTCTTCCTGTCGTCCCCGGTCCTGGTGTGCTCCATGGCTGGCCCTGGTGGTCAACCTGCTCGGCGCGCCGCCTCTCCCTCTCCAGCACTCGCGGATCCGCTCCGGAGGCGGCCTTGCCGGCGGCTTGCCCAGGTGGCGAAGGTTCACCGCCTCTTCCTCTCCCCGATGGTGCCTGTACTCCGCGACCGGCCCTGGTGTCGATCGGCAACACCGCTAACCGTGCGACTCCCCTCGCCTTTCCCGCCTCTGCTCGGCTCCCTTTCCTCTCCCTCTCCCTCCTCCTTCCGGAGCTTTTTTCCATTTTTGTTCTACCTGTAATGAATCGATTCCTGACAAGGTGCATCGGAACCTGTTCCTCGATTTCAAGGAGTGCCAGGCTCCTCCTGCCCCAATTCTTGGGGTTCCAGAGGCTTTTACAGCAGACAAAAATGACCCGAAGCTCAATCTTGGAGCTGGTGCCTATAGGACAGAAGAGTTGCAGCCCTATGTGCTCAGTGTACTAAACAAGGTGATCCTAATCGGATGCACAATTTGCTTAATAGTCGACCTTCCTGTTTTCATGTTCTCTTTTGCATGTAACTGTAGCCATTCTTATTGTTCCGAAAACTGAGACAGCTCACCTTTGCAGGAATGCCTCTATGGATTTATGCCACTGTGAAGCTCGCCTTTACAGCAGCTCACCGGCAAGGTCTTCTGGATGGGATATGGACTGTTGTAAATTATCCTTATGGCAACAAATATGATGATGTCAAATTGCCTGATAAGAAACCTGCTAGGTTCACTCTTTCCATTCAGTAAGGTCAGAATTTCTTCACCGAATCATTTCCTTTTTTCTTTTCAGTTTTCATTGATAAACTAAGAGCGTCGATTACTATTCTCTCCAAATCATTTGTTGTTTTATATACCTATGCAGAGTTTCAAAAATAGTGTTGGGCTTGCATTTGTATTGTTATTCCTGTCACTAATTGTTACCAAATGGGCTCCCTTTTGCTATAGCAGTTATATGGCTTCATTCTATGTCCTTATTGGCTGACAGATCAGCAGGTATTTCATTCTACAATTTAAATAGTGCACCTCTGTTGCTTGGCTTCGATGTTCAAATTTCACGGTCTATGTGGGTAAGAGGTCAACACAAGGCAATGGGTATATTGACGGTTAGTTTACATGGTTTACTAGGTGCACTAAATAACTTTTTTCTTAGGCTATTAGTGCCGGAAGAGATTGTCATCTGCCTGGGATTCGGTAATAATGCTTCTGTCACCAGCCATACTTTCCTGTTTCCACTGATATTTAGGTACCATAATTTCCCCCTGCTTCTCAGAATCGCAAAAACAGAAATCTTTACAGTACATTCTAATTGTTTCAATTTGATATGTAGGGGCATGTACCAGATTTAAACTATTCAAACTCAGTGACCAGACAAATAGTTTCATGCCTGTCGAATGATGAGTTTAGCTCTTTCAGCACCAATCTAGACCTTCTGAATGTTGTGCTAATATAGAAGAGAAATAGTTTCATGTTGAAATATGGACCATTGTTCATATTGTACAACTACATTATTTTTGGCAACTGATCAGATTATTACCTCTACTTTTTTGTGTAGTAGGAAGGCTTCTATCTCAAATTGAAAGAAAATGGAATTGTACCACCACAACATGTGCTCTTAAAAAGGCAGGCCTACTAAATTGAAGTGACATGATCGTGTGATGTCACCAATTTCACTCTATTTTATAAATTTAACAAATCTTCTACAAAATTATACTATGGCACAGTTTTTGAGTGGCCCAATTAATAAATTATGTATTGTTCAAAGGTGTAGTATACCTATGTATTTTAGTGTGCGACCCTTACTGTTTCAGTACTACAATTAGTACCCATGCACATCCAACATATCTGTTTCAATGGTGCATTAGTATCTGTGTACATCCTCGATTTCTGATTTTACATATCAACCATTATTTTTTTTTTAAAAACATCCGCTTCCATTCTGCTTTTGATGCCACCTCCCTTGCTGCAACCTGCTATTCCAAAGTGTCTTATAAAATCCTCCATAGAGAGAAGTTTGCACGTCACCATAGAAAAACCTTGCTGCAAACCTTTGACTGAATGGAACTACCCCTTTTTTGCCTTCTGATCAGGTGTAGGCAAGAAAATGTTCACACTTCCTTCTATGTGGGTTTCACGGTTCTGAAGTTTGTTGGTGCAGCTACATAAAAAATCACTTGGGTTTGTTTGCAATGACAATGCATAGTAAGGCTTTGTGCTACAAACAGACTTATCAATAGTAAAACAGGAGAGAAGATGAACTCGCTGTTTACCATGTGTAACCTCTTTATAATTGAAGGTATGTCATTCATTTCCCTAACTGTAGCACTATTGTTGGGACTTGCTAGGCCACTATGTCATTTCGATGATTTGGAAACTAAACAGGGAACAGGAAATGTTTTCCTTTCATTGCTTGCTGCATCAGCCAAGCTCCAACTGCTTCCAACGGCCACTCTTCTATTTCACCCTATCTGGACACATTAAGCTTCCAAATGGGGGCAACAGGTTAGTAATTCTTTATTTCTGATGTGCAGGTGCTTTCAAGACTGAAACAAAGAGAATACCATGTACTGCTCTTCTTGCAAATGAATGTGTCTTATAATACTTCTACCACCCACAGTTCCCTGTTTCCACTGCTGCTAAGGTACGTTCATTAACATTTTCCTCTACTATTGCATGTCTGTAAATCGCTCAAAAATTTGCTTTCGCTTCTAATTTTACTTTGCATATTTTCTGCATAACCCACTTCGTTCTTCTATGCCGAAACGGAACATCCTGCATTTTTCAACAACTGCTGTTGGGTTCCACCACAAAGAGGTGCAAGTATTGTTTAGTTTACAATTAGATTGGAATGTCATGCTTCTCGATGGTTACAAAGGTTGCAACACAAATAGAGTGGAATTATTACTTTTTTTATCATGAGTGGAATTGTTGCTATGTATGATGACGAATCTTACATCCATGTAACCATCTTTTGGCCATTACGATGCCATTGTTTGAATGTAGCCATACACTGCTTGCTTCTATCAGACTTGCTTTATTGCACCCGTGGTAACGCCCGGGGTTTCGGCTAGTATAACTAGATTACATAATATTGCCAATAATTTCAATGTCGTCATTAAAATTGGCTAATCCTGCGTGGAATGATAATATTTATTACTGGCATAGTGAATTAGCAACATGGGTTCCAAAAACTTTTAACTGTTAATAACTCATACTATGTTTCTTTTTTCTTACCAAATAGTCATTTGATTTATCTACAACAAGTAAACCCATACTCTTCTCAAGAAATTGGTGGGCTTCCTTTTATACAGTTTCATGCGGTCGTAGGATGGCGTAAGAATGCCAGTGATCAACCATGGGAGCATATATATATTCTCTATGTATATTTTGTAGACTACATAGCAAAATTAATAAGTTGACTTATTATCTGCCATGCACAACTATCAACACTACTGAAGACGGAATTCTTGGTGGATATTTTAAAGAGCAGTGCAAATGAATGTGGAGATAATATCCTTGGAGAACTCCAAGACCTACTTAAGCAAGTCGTAAATTAGATGGTTGAGGCGAGACATGAATTTGTTATGCCTTCTTACTGCTACCAGTTAGGATAAGGTCACGAGCGAATGGTCGAGCGTAACCGTAATCCAGTCTAGCATATCGCCGCACACGCTCCTTGCGGAAGCCAGGACATGACGCTGGCACGAATTGCTGCTGCAGTTGATCCGAGGATAGCAGATAGGTTAGTCTAGCAAATCCCCAAATCTATTTATTTATTAGTATTCAACCACTTTGGATTTGGTGTGTATTTTAAAGATTTGATAGGGAGCTGAAAACTGCAAATAACCACCGAAAAACAAAACAATCAGTTTTTGTAGTGATTCTAAGTAAGATTGGTAAGTAAGCTGGTCTCAAAAAGAATATTTGACCTATCTAAAGCATGATTGAGTATTGTCGCTATATCTGAAAATTTCATTCCTAATTACTAACCAAAGAAATGAATAGCAAGTTTACGATAATGAAAATTGTACTAAAAATACCCCCTCCATTCAAATTATTAGTCGTTTTGATTTTTTTAAGCACATAATTTTGACTATACGCTTCGATATATGCTATATCTAGTTATATAACAAAATCTAGACATACAAGTCGATTTATAATTTAGAATTGAGAGAGTAATAAACATAAATACAACAATAATGGTTACATAATATCACTTTAAAAAACCGATGCACATAAAAGCTGGTTTCAGACACATAATGAACACAGAGGCCCCGTTCGTTTCTCTTATAATCCGTCTTTTTCAGCTTATTTTTTTAGCCAGAACAGTATTTTTCTCTCACAACAAGTTAATCGGAACAATATTTCGGTTTATTTTTTCAGCGAAGCGAATGGGGCCAGAGAACTAGGGAACGAGAGTGGGCTGCTGCCGGATGCAACTGTGCTTGGAAAGACTATAAAAATCAGTATACTACTTGTGTCTGCAGTGTAATAGATTTCCATCTTTATATCGAAAGGAATATAGGTCTATTTAGATCTTGTGCTCTAAAATTTAGCCACTAAAAAATTTATACCACGTTAGCTCTTGAGACTCTAAATAGGAGGTCTAAAAGTCTTATCTAAAATTTAGATTATCTCACAAAACTTTAGACCACACAAGAAGTTTTAGTTCTCAACTTTAGTCAACTAAATTTTAGACCTGAGAATCTAAATAGGCAAATAATAAGCTTATGCACAATACTTTAATTTTGTACATATTTAAACTCACCATTAACATTCCCTACTAACTCAATTAGCAGGTCAGCATAGGCCATAGGCCATATGGTACTCTTTTTTTTCAAAACACACACGCACACATGTTTCGGCATTTGCTAGAGAGGTGGAGAATCCCACCTTGGAGCCACCCTTGAAAAGTTGAAACCAAATGATTTCAACTCTACAATAGTCTATAAAAGCCGACAACACTTTTTCCCACTCTCTTGTTGAATCTCTCTCATGAGGTCACAACAGCCTCTGCAAGCCATGCTGACACGTATAGATCACCCAATTTTTACATACGCTGACATCGGAACATAGTTGGCCTGGCAGAGCCACCAACGAAGCCACCACGCTGGGGCTGGCCTGAGGCGTCAACAATCTTACCACGACCGTCAGGCGCCGTACATGCCATCGCGTGGCACGCACGCACGCACGCACGCGTATAGGAGGCGTCGACGTCGTGGAGGATTCAACACCGGTGGTCTGCGTCTGGCTCCAATCTAATGAAGAGGACGGCGACGGCAGGAGGCTAGGCTCCGAATGATGAATGGAGAAAGGACAAAGATATGCCGTGACGGGTCACGCACTTGGCGCCGTGCGGCCTTCTTCCTCCCCGACGTGCCCTTCCTCCCCCGCTGTCCCCGGCCGCTCCGCCCGCAACCCTCCCCGCGCCCCTCCTTCGCCGCCCCCCCTCACCGTCGAGCACGCGGTGCTCATCCTCAACCCCACCCTCCTCATTCTCACCCCCGCCGCCTTCTTCCCCTCCCCCTCCCGTGACGGCGACCTCCCTCCGACCATGGCGCCCCCGCCCCTCCCTGGCATGGCTGCCTCCGCCGCCAGGGCCCCTAAGCCGCCCGGCCACCTTCTCGGCCCACTGCCTCGTCAGCCTGTCACCCCCGGCCAGTCCCTTCTAAGCCCGTCGTGTAATAAACTTTGCGATGGAGAAAGGGATGATCCGGGATTAAAAAAAAGGGAAGGAAACATATATGCATGGAGAGAAAGGGAGACGACGTGGTGGCGCGTTTTTCCAGTAGGCACGTGTGTGTGCCCGGACGGGTTTCCGATGTCCATTTATTTGGTCCATGCGTCAGAAGTTTTCAACGGGATCTGATTCGCTGGATGAAATCTTCGTTAACACATCCTAGAAAAAGGTGGGTACAAGGTTTTATTTAGGGGTGGAATTTTTTCCCTCAATTTCTTTACTCTTTTATTTAGAAGTAGAATAGATATAGATATAGTAGATTTTAATTGCAGGGATGGTTTTATTTTTGCTATTTAATTTTTCTATTTCTTTTTTTTGTTCTACTAGAACTATAGAAGACATAGGTAGTGCGCTTTAATACGAAATACTCTTTGTCGGGTTCATAAACCCGGGGTCCTTCACGGACAGGCTTTCCAACAAAGGCTCGGCCCAGCAGGCAACGTTGCAAACAAACACGCAACTCATGGGCCGGCCCAATTATCTAAACGACAGACCAGAAGGGCGATCCAATCACCGACCGGAAGGTCTGGCCGAGGAGGAACGGCGCCAATTTCTGACTCTGGCCCACCTCTCCGACCGGAGCGCTCGCTTCGGTCTCTAGCCCGCCTC